GTTTTCCCAGACCGAGATAATATAATAAGGGACTCTTTGACTTCAATATTCTTATTTCTTTCTGTGTCCCCATGGGGTATATGTGCACAACCTCAGGACGTTTGGTTGGATATCCCCTGTTGGATATCCAAAGTAAATTTTAGTAATGATTTTGTCTGCAGTATCCAAATCTAATACCATTGGCCGAAAAAAAAAACAAGGCGGGCCAAGAAAACAAGATTGCTACATTTTCAAATGTTGACATCATAAATCTTGTTAAACAAGAAATGATACCGATATTGTGCTAGTTTTCTTTCAACTATAACAACATCCAATTCTCACTAAAACAACTTTGACAAATAAGTTTTCAATTGTTGTATAAATGGTTCATTTGGAACATAACATGTACACAGTCACAATTGCATAAAAAAGAAATCAAATACATCAACGCATCAAAGTAAAAGACAAACAATAAATCAGAGTGTTTTCCTGTCTCCTCTCTTCATATATATCTGCCATACATGTTCCGACATGGCAACAGACATCTTTGCCCATTTTCGGCATGTTGACCACTGTCAGAGGGCAGAAACATTTCTTTTTTTTCCAAAATCAGGCAAAATTAATTTGTGCGCTAATGCCATCCATAGAATTTACTTGCTGTGGCCTTATGATGTAAGAGCTGCTCTGGTATTCTTTGCTCCATCGTCCTCAAGCAGTAGAACTGATGGATTTACAATTATATTTACGTATTGTGAAGAAATGTTTTTCTATGCTTTATGTTAGAATAATTGACTGGACCGAACTGAATCGGCGTAACTAATCACTGCTAAATATACTCACGATCCTATATATCATCATTACATATCGATTTTCCCCTGATGAGGTCTTTCCAAACTGTTGTAAACATCTTTTTTTACTAAGTAAAAGTTTATTTACAAACTTTTCGCAGTCATGCTATAACTGCATTCCTCAAAGCGATGTGTCAAACTTCTAAGACGTAGATGAAGTATGTGTGAATCCTGGGCGGTGCTAGATTTTCAGCTCAGCCTAGCAGCTTGTAAATATGAACAGTAATTAAAAGAGACATGCCACCGCCTTCACGTACACAAGATGTATGGTGCACATCGGCAAATAACCAGACACGTACGCATATTTTTAAGAAAGTTAATTGGGTACATTCATTTTCTGCAGGTCTCAAAGGATTTGCTCATCTATCTGTGGGGTAGAGTAATAAAATATTGTAGCGACGACTATCTTGGATCATTTGTGGGTTTGGTGTTATGCGGTCGGTAGGGTTAAATATGATTGATAATCAATGGATAGATTTCTTGATCTAAAATGCCATGTCATCAATTTGTGGGTGGACATTTTTTGCTTTCTTTCATGAGTCACGTCTACTGCAGCTGATAGATTGTCCGTAGACTGTCGTTCTTTTATGAGTCACATCTACTGATAAATTGTCCGTAGACTGTCTTTCTTTCATGAGTCACATCTACTGATAAATTGTCCGTAGACTGTCTTTCTTTCATGAGTCACGTCTACTGATAGTTTGTCCGTAGATTGTCTTTCTTTTATGAGTCACGTCTACTGACAGATTGCTTTTGCGACAGCAGAAAAACATATTCTATATTAGAAAGGCCAGTAGGGGAAAAGTCATTCTGGTCTAAAATTTTCATATCAACCGCTTCACACTTGGGAAGGTAGTCTAATCGAGATGGGGGACCGTCACATAAATATTTGATAAACCACGCTCTCCATACGTTCTGTACATGACAAAATCATGAACCTTCTTTAGAATGCAAAAAAAGGTATTTGGCTTAATTCCCGCAAATCGCATTATTCAACGTGGAAAACAATGAGAATTGCGAATATTACAGAACATTATTACGATCTAAATCTATAAAAAAAGCAATATTTGTTACAATTATAATATTCATTTAAAAAGTCCAAGTTGTTCTTAAGTAATAATGGTTATAAGTTGTATGAGGTACTATGATATAACACCGATCTGCATGTGCTATATGAACACTGCATCCACATGATCCTTTGCAATGCTATTGCTGGTCCCTACATGAATACTCAGGAAATAGATGATGTGATCACATAAAGTTATAGGAGACTGTAAGAAATAATAACCTACGTCATTCTGTAGACCGTTAAGTCGAACCTAGCCAGGGAAAACTTTGATACTGCTGATAAATCGGTCACACGGACAAACATCATTGATCTAGCTCATAGGTCAATACACAATTAGACTCGCTTGCAACTGAGGATCAAGCACTGGATACACCAGCGTATTACGTGGAATTTCATATATATATAACAGAAATGTGCTGTGAGCGATATCAAATATAGTTTTAAGCCCATATAGCTATCCGTTTGTGGGTAAAGCATATGGTAGTATTACTAACCTATTAAACTAACCATAGTGGTTTGGACTTAGCTTGACGGTGATTTTATTATATTTTGATGGAACGAAACTTTGGTATGTATTATAATTAGTCATTCTTTTTCATCTTTTTTATATTGTTGTGTAGTATGTGGTGTAACGTTGTGTGTTTTGGAATCCATGAAGACTAGTCAGTTTAGCAATGGATATCCCAATGAAATATCAAGTATGAAGTATGCATCAACCTTAGCTTTCTTTACAATATCGTGATCATTTCCATGTACTAGAACTAAGATTATGTTACTGGACCAAGTCAGAATCATGTATGCTCGGGGCAATGTCGACACACTGACCCAATACAGAAGAAGCAGAGGTTTTCAGATTTTGAGGCTACCCGTGAAAATTCCTAGCCCCTTTTAGAGTGGCAAGGTTTTGGTCCCCACAGGCATAAAATGACTCCTACTCTTCCGATACGTGTAAAGGGTACTGAATCCAATGCGATTTGAGGGCAGCAGAACGGGAAATATTCCGAATGAGGCAATCTTTCTGATATTGAAACTTACTGCTTCACATTAGCACATTTGAGTCAGCCTTTCCAACTTTGGGCATTTAAAACTGCAGAAACAAGCCGCAAGATGAGTCAATTATCATTTAACCTCCTCCGCTAGCAGTCAAAGGCATTTTACAACAAACTTCTAACTCAATTCTACATATAGACATTGCCTGTTTGGACTATCAACAACCAAATTCAAGAGGATCACATCCTTGGAATTCACAATGGCAAGTGAGCAATATCCTTTTGCTGATATATCGGTCAATCGGTCAGGGGCACTCTATTGACTCTTGTGGAGTCCAATAGACTGAAGTTCATAACTACAAACGGGGATTACAATATATTGTGGCGAGTAAAAAATGTGCCTTTTGCGGTATTACTGATCATCGTGTATTTCACATGATACCTTAACGATTAATAAAAAAGATGCATGGTCTGTGGAAGTTGCCACCATGTGTGGATTTCTAAGCATAACGGTAAAGGTATGACCTCATCTGTGATCATGACATCTTTAACTTTAGCAGCGTTTCGTTAAGGTACTTTGATATTTTGATGAGGTATAAAGTGAAATTTGCATTCATCAAGGTATGAACCAAAAATCGCGATAACAAGACTACAAATATTGTAGTACATATTGACTGGATAATATCGTACAAAGCAAACACTATTAGAAACAATATCTATCTATCTATCTATCTATCTATCTATCTATCTATCTATCTACACATATATAT